GATAGATAGATAGATAGATAGATAGATAGATAGATAGATAGATAGATAGATAGATAGATAGATAGATAGATAGATAGATAGATAGATAGATAGATAGATAGATAGATAGATAGATAGATAGATAGATAGATAGATAGATAGATAGATAGATAGATAGATAGATAGATAGATAGATAGATAGATAGATAGATAGATAGATAGATAGATAGATAGATAGATAGATAGATAGATAGATAGATAGATAGATAGATAGATAGATAGATAGATAGATAGATAGATAGATAGATAGATAGATAGATAGATAGATAGATAGATAGATAGATAGATAGATAGATAGATAGATAGATAGATAGATAGATAGATAGATAGATAGATAGATAGATAGATAGATAGATAGATAGATAGATAGATAGATAGATAGATAGATAGATAGATAGATAGATAGATAGATAGATAGATAGATAGATAGATAGATAGATAGATAGATAGATAGATAGATAGATAGATAGATAGATAGATAGATAGATAGATAGATAGATAGATAGATAGATAGATAGATTAGATAGATAGATAGATAGATAGATAGATAGATAGATAGATAGATAGATAGATAGATAGATAGATAGATAGATAGATAGATAGATAGATAGATAGATAGATAGATAGATAGATAGATAGATAGATAGATAGATAGATAGATAGATAGATAGATAGATAGATAGATAGATAGATAGATAGATAGATAGATAGATAGATAGATAGATAGATAGATAGATAGATAGATAGATAGATAGATAGATAGATAGATAGATAGATAGATAGATAGATAGATAGATAGATAGATAGATAGATAGATAGATAGATAGATAGATAGATAGATAGATAGATAGATAGATAGATAGATAGATAGATAGATAGATAGATAGATAGATAGATAGATAGATAGATAGATTAGATAGATAGATAGATAGATAGATAGATAGATAGATAGATAGATAGATAGATAGATAGATAGATAGATAGATAGATAGATAGATAGATAGATAGATAGATAGATAGATAGATAGATAGATAGATAGATAGATAGATAGATAGATAGATAGATAGATAGATAGATAGATAGATAGATAGATAGATAGATAGATAGACAAATATATAGATAGGTAGATAAGTAGATAGATAGATGGATAGACAATTATGAGATTTATTATTTACTAAAATTTAGTTTTTGAAGTAAACTAAAGGATTCAGGTTTTCGGGATATCTTGTCCTAAATTTTGTAAATTCCTCGTTTTTTATAAAATTTTAAGACGTTATAACTGCGCGAAGACACCTTTATTTATAAAATGGTTATTTATAAAATGCTTTATGTCATCTGATTTTTTTTTTTTTTTTTTTGTATTTTCTTAGTTCTTTGATATATCTTAATCTTAAGTTTAAAACTACTATAATTGAAAAAATATTACTTTTATACTATAAATAAAGGTGTATAACTCTGCAGATATGGTCAAAGACGGTATTATTTCAAACTTAAGCAATCGATATCTCGAAAACTTGATGTGTTTGAGAAATTATAATACCCTCTGGTTGACATATGCCATTTCATTTCATGTCTTATTGATTTAAATAACTCTCTGGAAGACCTCAACAAATCCAGTATGTGCCAGGAATGTTAAGGGCGTTGTGTTATGTGTGTCCAACATTCAATATAACTGATTGAAAAGCAAGAGTAATTTCCTATCATAAATAAATTTTTTAATTTGATCTTTAATTAAATTTTCAACAACTTTTCATAACAATAACAAAATGATAATTAATAAATTCATAATTTTAAAATTAACAGTTTTTAAAAAATACCACAAAGAACTATGTAGGGTTGTATCGTTGAAACAAAAATTTAATTAAGTCGACTCTACTTTTTCTACAAAAAGTCAACTGTTTGAAAGTTGATTTTTTGCTATCGATTGGAAGAGTTGTTAATTGTTTTCTTAGCAAAAAACACCAACACATGTTTTAAGTTAAACGAGAGTAATTAACAAGTTTTATACATGATCAGAATTTCTTAAAATATAAAGAAATAAAATTTCAACTACTTAAGAATTACTTTATCTACAAATACTTTTTAAAAAATTTGGATACCCTAAGAAAATGAATTGTTTTTTGTTTTTGAAATATATTAAAAAAGCACTAAGTTGACAACACAGAAATTTGGCGCCTTTTTATTTGCACAACAAGCTGAGAGACTTGCGCCGATTCGGCCTAAGCCGACTAAGCCTAGCCGCCGAACAAAATGTCAAAGCCGCCGCCGCCGAAAATTTTTCTGCTTAATACGGCTTGAAAATTTCGCGATATTTTGTACAATTTACAGAACACTTTCGCTAAATTTATGGAATTTTCACAATATAAAATTAATTTGTTTTCATTTAAGCAAGTTTTCTTTTATCTAATAATAAGCCGCTCATTGAAATTTGGCCGGTGTAGAACTTTGCTCAACGTTCGATGTATATGCTTCGCCTCAGATAGGTACTTTTTGAGTTTTTTTTTTTCGTTCTTCTTTTTCTTTCTTCAAAAGGAACTTTTTGAATTTTCTACAATATTAAACCTAGAAACATGAAAGCATGTATAGCCCCGATTAAGTGAGAACCTGTAAAAGGGGACTTTTTGGTTCTTCAAAAGGTACATTTTAAGTTTTTGTATAATAATGAACCTAGAAACGTGAAATTAAGCATGTAGAGCCCGGATTAAGTGAGGTCCTATAAAAGGGGACTTTTTGGTACTTTTTCGTTCTTCAAAAGGTACTTTTTGAGTTTTCTATTATATTGAACATAGAGACATGAAATTATGCACGTAGAGCCCGGAGTAAATGAGAATCTATAAAATGGCTCTTTTTGGTACTTTTTCGTTCTTTGACTGGTACTTTTTGAGCTTGCTACAAAATTTCGACCGGAACTTTTTGAATTTTCCATAAAATTAAACCTAGAAACATAAAAATAAATATGTAGAGCCTGGAGTAAATTATAATCTATAAAAAGGGACTTTTTGGTACTTTTTCGTTCTTCGACTGGTACTTTTTGAATTTTTTATAATATTGAACCTAGAAACATGAAATTAGGAATGTACCGCCCGGATTAAGTGATAACATATAAAAGGGAACTTTTTGGTACTTTTTCGTTCTTCAAAAGGTATTTTTTGAATTTTCTATAATATTGAACCTATAGACATGAAATTAATCCTGTAGGGCATGGAGTAATTGAGAACATATAAAACGGGACTTTTTGGTACTTTTTTGTTCTTCAACTGGTGCTATTTGAATTTTCTTTTATAATGAACCTAAAAACATAAAACTAAGCAATCAGGGACTTGAGTGAATGAAAATTTAAACTGGAGTATTTCTGGTAATTTTTCGTTCTTTAAATGGTACTTTTTGAATTTTCTAAAATATTAAATATATAAACATAAAATTAAAGACGCAATATCCTAATTGAACGAAAATTTATCTCGCTTACGTCCATTTTGCAAAAAGGGCTCGATATCAATCGAAATCTCTATAGGCCATAATTGACCCTGCCCCCTTCAATAATTGATTTTAACGTTTTCTACGTACTTAATAATATCATAATAAAACAATTTTTGTTGGAACGAAAATATGTAATGTAAATATGTATATCAAATCTTCTTCAGAAAATGACTTAAACGCACATAAATGGCTTTCAAATGTCGATGTCGACGAAAAAAACATTTTTAGGAACCGAAACCTACATTTATGAAAAATAAAATTATGAGGATCGGTCCGCCATTATAACCCTCTTACAGAAAATTAGTTTATAGCTAATACATCATTCCAAAAGTTATGATTATGATAGAATTATGGTAGAATTAAAAAAAGTACTTTAAATTATAGAGAACTTTGTCCATAATTGACCCAATTCCACATTTAAGTCCCTAATCCGAAAATCACGGTGACGTTCTTATTAATCTAATGATCAAAGTCCATATATATATGTATATGACCACTTCCGAAATTTGCTTTTTTACGATAAATGATTTGCCGAATATAACTCTTACTCCTTACTTATTTTAATCATAAAGAAATTACAGCTCAAATAGGAATAGTCTGCCTTTAGAGTTGCGAGTTTTCATACACTTTAATAATGTTTTCAAAGTGAAACTTTTGGAATATTTTTCAATCTCTTTGTAATCCCTTTAAAGGATGTTGTTCTGGAAGAACTTTAACATCCATGTAAACATTTTGGGTAATAAATTGGGGGACTACCAATGAGGGGAGCGGAACCTCCCATATGAATTAAATACAAAAATTCGTTTATCTGGGAAACTAATAGAACTAAATTCTTCAAATTTTGCACGAAGGACTTTAATATTCATCTGAACATTTTGGAGAAAAAAGGGCGGACTTTCATCTGGGGGGCTTGGAACTCCCATATGAATTAAATAGAAAAATTCGTATATCTGAGAAACTATTAGAGCTAGAGTCTTCAAATTTTACTGAAGAACATTAAGAGAAATTGCAATAATTTGCGTGGAATCTCCCATATGTAACAAATTGTATATCTCGAAAACCATTGTAGTTAGAATCATCAAAATCGTTAAGCTATTTATATTGCTTTTAGGGTAGCACAGCACACTGGGTATAGCTAGTAAATAAACAAATAAAATATATTTGTTTTTACGTTATTGATAATTTTCTTAATGCAAAATTTTTTAGAAACTGATTTTCTGCAAGATGTTTTATATGGAGGATAGGGTTAAATATCGGCAGATCCTCGTAAAACTTGGAGAAAGGATTTGTTTTTAATTTTTAAGAATTTCTTATTCATCCCTGCATAATTTAGAGCTTGCTCTGTTTTGTTGTTATAAACAATATATTTGCTTCCAAAATCCCACTTTCTGATCTCTCGGATTCCGTTTTTATTTAAAATCGTTGAAAATTTAAAAACTAAACGTAGTTGAAAACATATTTGGTGTCAGTCGCCGCCGCCGTTAATATTTGTCGGCGCAGGGCTCTGACAACAAGCTAAAATTACAAAAAAAAAGAGAAGAAAACACACAAAAATTACAGAAAATAAAATATGGATTTTAGAAGAAAAACTAAGCCTCGTATAGAATACAAGCCAGAGTATGAAAATCTGGAACAGAAATATCCACACAATGTGCTACTCTACCGGCTGCCGCCAATCGAAGACATACAAATCCAAGAATTCGAAGAATTATCGCTGGAACGTTTGAAAGTTTTGCGAATATTGGAGCAGGCGCACACAAAAAGTTTACGTTTATTGTCCGACGATTGGAAGGAGTATGTTCATGCAGAACTCTCACGAGAAGGTTTAAAAGGTTATTTGCGTTTGTGCACTAATGGCGGTGCAACAGCCACCAATAATGCCAGTAAACATGAGTTCGAACTGCAGGCCAGACGACGAGATTACATATCACATTTTATATTGAGATTAGTTTATTGTCGTACCATGGAGTTGAAACGGTAAGTTTGTGTGTTAAATCTTGTGGGTGACTTAAGTAATTTCTTCACAAATTTCGCAGTTGGTTTTTGGCACGTGAAATGGAACTTTTCAAATATAAATTTTCCACCATGACGCCGGCGGAAATTAAACATTTCCTAGAGCTGCACAAATTAAACTATGCCCCCTTGTCACAAGAACAAAAGAATGCTGTCAAAGATGGTCTTTTCGAAAGTACTATGGGACAGAGTGTGGCCAAGATAGAAATGTTGGATTTTTATAAGGTTCCCTTTACCCAAGTGCTCGATTTGGTTAGATCACGTCGTTGCTATTTGAAAGATGGTCAAGCTTATGTTAACACAAATGATTTTATATCGATTGTGGCCGTCAAACAAATGGAGGAAATCGAACATGGTCTGCAAGCTGCCCAACGTTCGATTAGAGATGTAGAGACAGATGAGCGCTTGTTTCATTTGCTTAAATCATTGCACACCTCGTATACGGGCAAAGATTATACCGTTAGTAAAAATGCCAGTGTACCCATTGAATCATTGGATCAACTGGCTAAAAAATCATTTCCCTTATGCATGCGTGCCTGTCATGAACATATACGCGCTACCCATCATATCAAACATGATGGCCGCATGCAGTATGGTTTATTTCTTAAAGGTATTGGGGTTACATTGGAAGATTCTATACGCTTTTGGCGTGAAGAATTCTGCAGAAAAATGGATCCGGAAAAGTTTTCGAAAAGTTATCAATATAATATTGAGCATAACTATGGTAAAAAGGGTTCTATGGTCAACTATACCCCCTATTCGTGCCTGAAAATTATACAGGAAAATGCAGTGCCGGGCAGTGTACACGGCTGTCCCTATAAAATTTATGATCAAACCACCTTAAAGAACAAAATGGCAGCTGCAGGTTTGTCATCGGGTCATGTTCAAGAAGTAATGAGCTTTGTAGCCAAAGGACACTATCAATTGGCCTGTGGTAAATTTTTCCAAATCACCCATGAATCGTCAGAAGAAGTTGCCATTACACATCCCAATCAATATTTCGAACAGAGTCAAATTGTGCAGGGAAATCGTACAGTAGAAAAGAAACCGGGCAACGTACAACGTAAAACCATTAAAAGTAGTCAGTCCATGAATGAAACCACCATGTTTATGAATAACGACGATGATGATGAATTGTGGAATTTAATTGAAATACCCAAAGATACAGCAAGTAGCACACAGCAGTCAGCAACAACAAATACACAAATTGATTGGGATGATGATTTAGATTTAACAGCTATTGAGTGCTAAGATTGTTGTTAGGATTAGAATGAGTTATTGTTAATTCATGTATTTTATAAACTATTCATTGGTATTTTCTTAATAAAAGTGTATGCATTCTATTAATTATATAAATATCTAATAATATTTTAAATTGGTAATTTCAATTTAAAGAAAAAACATCTTTTATTCAGAAGAGGAAAAAAACAAAATTTCATATTTTAAAACCGAAATATGCCAGGTTTTTAGAAAACTTAAACTCTAGTATGTAATGGAACCATGAAACAATCCCTGCATTGCTTCAAGCAATGCTCGCTGACAAGCATATGTCGCTCTATAGCCACCTGCTCGTTCAACGGAATTTTCTGCTCTTACATGCGACATATAGCCTTTATTTTCAATTTCATATACAGCTGGACAAGGCGGACCTTCCATATAGAGTAGTGGAGTTTCATGTACATATAAGGGGCCTTCTTCAACTTTGGGAACCGGCAGAAATTGATGATCAGCAGAACGGCCAAATTTAATACCAGATGAAAATTGTGAAGCTGGCTTTGGTGGTGGCAACTGTTTTTCTTCTTCACGTAATTTTTCTACTTTCTCTGCAAATTCACTAACAATAGCTGATGCATTCTTTCCACTACACATTAGTTCATCGATTAAAGCCTCCTTCTCACGTGCCTTCTTTTTCTTCTGTTCTGCTTCCAGGTCTAGCAGTTCTTGTCGTCTGGCTTCTTCTTGAGCTTTCTCTAATTCCAGCATTTCTTCCAATTCATATTCTTCACGTCCCATTCGTGTCTTATTACGTTGTATTATCTCACGATTTTCTTTTTTGTATTGTTCTATGCGTTTGTTTGTGCCAATTATATCAATGTTGTTGCATAGATTGTATATGATGGACTCAATTTCCTCTAAATAATCATTGTATTCTTGTAGCGAATTAAAGTCTTCCTCCTTTTTATTGTAGTCTCTTAGAATGCGTTTTCGTATGTCCACCTCTTTTTCCACCATGGGATCCTCAAAGAGTTGTATGCGAAAATTATTACGCCTTAGCGGTACCATACATTCTGGACATGAGCCGGAACCTTTTAAGAACAGAAGATCTACACATGATTCACATAATGTATGCCCGCATACATTTACCATCAACTTTAAGGATGGATTGCGATACTTTGTTGTTTTACAACGTGGACAGGCCTGATCATCCATGTTCTAAGATTAAGTATATCCAATTACTTTGTAAGAAATATACAATAAGTAAAACAATGTTTACCGGCGGTCTGAGTGGAAAATGAAATGTTTATTTTTAATTACAATTAGAGATGACAAAATAATGATGGAACAAAACAGCTGTTTGTTGTTCGTTTCGATACATCCAAAGCTATCGTTATGGCACAGGGTGTTAACTATAATTTGTAATGTTAACAACTACAACAGGTATGGAAAATGAATTGGATTATTCTATCATTTATCACAAACGGATCAACGAAATGAACCCAAGAGTGTCTCCAGTGACAACCCCTTTAAATAAAGGTCACCATTCTAGTTGATTGAGTATAAATACCCATGTTATAGGATATGGGACATTTTTAGAGAAGCTGGTAGTGGATACACTCTAGAGGAGAAAGTGTCTGTACAGAAAATACAATATTAATAAATTTTAAATTAAAATTTTTGCTATTGATATTGATTTCCCCAAATTTTATAACGGACGATACTAAAAAAATTTTTTTTATTTCATGTATAAAATCGCTAGAGTTAAAAGTATTGACCGTTTAAATGATTAAAAAAAATCGCCAAAAATGATATACAAAATGCATAATTACCATCACTGAAGAAAAAGCAAAAAAATGTAAAAAGAAACACAAAACATAAACAAAAACAAGAAAAAACATTCATTTTTACATTTTGCAGAGCATTTTGCCACAGGGTATACAGAGGCGTCACGAGCAAAAAACTATTTCCATCTCTTTCGCACAAAACGATTTCAATGATTTTTTTAGCTGTATTTTATATACCTCTTCTCACCAAACAATTTCAAAATTAAACAAAAGCTGATTTTAGACTTTTTTAAATGTCAAAAGTGACACCTCTGTATACTTTGTGATTTTGCAATAATAATTTTACAAAAAATGGCCTCGAATACAAAATTTATGATGTTAAGTCTTTTAAATTTATATTTAACTTATCAAGAGGTAAAAAATGGGAAAGTTGTACCCAGGATTAGAAGCAACCTAACAAGACGAATCCGAGCTGAAATAGAACAGACTAAACATAAACAAAAAACTAGCACCATTTCATCAACTCCAACAGACATAACACAAGTACAAAATCAACAGGAACAACTTACTCAGGTACAAGCCAATAAACCAAATCTAAAAAGAACTCTTAACAACGCAAGACCTGTTAGAGCAAGAAGAAGAACCAAGAAAAGCAAGGATAATGATAATACGGAGAAAAAACCACGCGTCAGAAGATGGGCCATACGTCCAACAAACCGTTATCGTGTTATAGATAACTATCATCGTAAAGTTTTTGGAAATATCAAGTTAATGAGTCAAGAACAATTTTTTGTGCATACTAGAATGACCAAAACCATGTTCGATTGGTTGCTATCAATAGCGAAAAGTTCTTTGATTAAGAAAGCCCAAAGAGTGTTTGCACAAGAAAGACTGGCAATTACCTTAAAGTAAGTACTAATTACTAATCATCTACAATGTAATAATTACTCCTAATTCTTTCCAGTTATTTAGCTTATGGAACTCCCTTACAATCGCTTGCTTATAAACATAAATTAGGTAAATCAACTATACGAGAAGTTGTTTTAAGTACATGCACTGTTTTGTGGAACTTACTATCGCCGATTTATCTCTGTGAACCTACAACTTCTCAGTACGCTGACATTGCTGATGAATTTAAAAGCAAATGGAATGTTCCTAACTGTGTGGGTGCTATCGATGGCAAGCATGTGTCCCATCGACATCGTATAATGAATAAAGATAAAAATAATATAGACATGCTGATAATGGGAGCATGTGATGCAAAATATAAATTTACCGCTGTTAGTGTTGAAAGTTTCAATAATCAGAGTGAAGAAGGTAAGGAGCAAATAAGATCCCATTTCTAGTGTACATAATGTGACTAGATATCAATAGACGTATTTTAGTATAATTAAGATTTACATGGACGGATAGATGGACTTACGTTTATTTACTCAAATAGTGATAATAAGTTAATTACGGTATTTTATCGTTGATCTAGTCCAGACAAAGAAAATTTACTACTTTACATATACTAGCTCATAGACTAGTAACTAGACTAGTCCATAGTCAAGTCAATGGACTAGTCCTGGTACTTATCTATGGCCTAGTCAGTTGAATAATTTATTATTATCTGTATAATGCACCAGTTAGGCAATTGACTAATCCTCAGTACAGTTTATATACTAGTCCATATGTTGGTTACTGGAATAGTCTAAAGGATAGTGACTATATTAATTCATAAATCAGCCAATAGTCCACCACATATATAAATTTAATTATTTATATTTTATATTTACAGAACTATTAAAATTATCACCCTTTGGCAGTGCACTATTATCTGAAAATTTGCCTTTACCGGCAAGTAAACCATTATTTCCCACATCTGCCTCCTTCCCCCATTACTTTATTGCCAATACATCATTATCGCTAAGAAAAAATATAATGCGTCCCTATGAAGAAACCTACTTAGAAGCGGAAAAACATATTTTCAACTATAAAATTACAACTGCTTGTTCGGCTATTGAAAATACCTTTGGAGTATTAACCGCCCGTTGGCGTGTACTTTCAACTACAATTGAATTTTTACAAGAAAATTGTAAAACCATTATATTGGCATGCATTGTACTGCATAATTATATAATGACTAATGACGAGGATCAACTGTATTGTCCAGCGAACTTTGTAGATCGAAAAGAGGATGATGGTACCGTTATACCGGGCGAATGGCGCAACGAATTGAAACATAATGGCGATAAACCATTACGATCTATGGTAGCAAGTACGCGCAGCAGATCTTCCTATGAGGCTAAGAATTTAAGAGATATTTTAGCGAATTACATTGCAAATGAAACAATAAATTATGAAATTGAACTATTACAGTAGACTAGTTTTATATTAAATTTAGCTTTGTAAAAATAAAAATAACTAAAGCACTCGTTAATACTAAATTGTTTTCATTTTTGTCTTGTCTAACCGTTTATCAGAATGATTCACGGATCTAATAAAAATCTCTAAATTTTGTGAATTAAACATAAAATCTTTGAAATTATTCCTACCTTTTCTTTTCTACTTCACATTTAATTTCAAAATAAAACCAATTTTTTTTTAAACATTTTTAGAATTTATTGAATTTTATACATTAAGGGTTAATAATTTGTTTTTTTTTTGTTAAATACAGTTTCTTATATTTGATGTTTAACTACATGTACATTTTTTTTAATTTATTTATTCATTCATTCAGTTTTTATTATGCATATTACATTTGCTTTTACAATTTTTTTTTAATTTCATAATTATTAGCTATTTTATGTATTTTATAAGCATTTCCATATATATATATTTAATTTTATATATACTGTCTTATTTTTTTATGTTTATTGATAGTTAGAAATTGTGTTCCTGCTATTTATATGCATGTTTTAAGAGTGTTTAAGTTAATAGATGTATTTTTGTATTTCTTTCATAACAATTATGAACAAAACAATAGAAACTATTAATAACTAAAAAGATTTTGAAATTTTAAAAGACGAATTTATTTTCTCGTACAAGATTTTTTTTAGAACAATTTTTTTCTTTTAAATATTTTTTTGTGTTTTTCATATAAATGTTTCGATAAAGTATTCATGCGAGATACTAGAGGGTTACTTTCGAAATACATACATTGTACATATTTAACAAATTTTCTTTTTTGAATTGAGTAAAAGAGTTTTTTGAAGATACATAATTACAAATTAGAGTATTTGAGAAATACTTACAAATGTTTGAACATTTACAAATTGGTTGGAATGTTATTAGTTCGCAAATTCGAAGTTAAGTTCGAACAAGTTTTATTATTTGGGAATTCGATGTGTTCTAATAATCTCTAAATCATGAGGATTAATTTTATTTTAGACCCTTGTCTTATAATTTCTGAATTTCGAACTTGAAAATCCTTAAGGACAACAAAATCACTATTTCTGAATAACATCACACGTCTCAAAACGGGGTTTTTGACAAAATTTGTCTTTCAGACGACACAACAAATTGTACAAATAATGATGTCTTCGCGCTGTTTCAACGTCTCAAAAATAGCCAAATAAGTGGATTATAGGATTTCAAGTACATGATATCTCGAAAACTTCATGTGTTAAAAAATTATGAGGCAGACTAACAGAAAAAATGTTGCACAACGACATCTAGAACGCATGATTAAAGTCTGTCTAGTTATATTTTGATGTTTATACCCTACATCACTATAGTGGGGAGGGTATTATACGTTTGTGCTGATGTTTGTAACACACCAAAATATTGGACCTATACCCACCTTAAAGTATACCGATCGATTCAGAATCATTTTTCCGGCTGGCTGTCTATGAAAACTTGGTGCGCAAGGAACAGGCCGTAATTTTCAACATAATTTGATGAAATTTGGACCAAGCATGTTTTTTGACGAAGCCTATTGAAAATGGTTGAAATCGATCCAATCGGTCACCTAGCCCCCATACAACTGCACCTCCCGATTTGGGCTTTTTATGCCATAATTACGTCAAATATACTATTATCTCTATAAAAATTGACACAAATAAGTTTTAAATAAGTATAAATGACGATGCAGATTTTCGTAATGATCGGCCCTTATTTGACCCTAGCCCCCATACAAACCCCCGTTCAAAAAATGTCTTAAACGTCTAAAATTGACTTGTAACCATTTGTATCGCACTGAAACTCAACATAACTAACTGTTATTTAAAAATATATCCTTTTCTCAAATTTAATGAGGATCGGCCCATGTTTGACCTATACTCCTATATAAAGCCTCATTTAGAAAATTAGTTTTTTATCAATAAATTGCTTAAATACTTTCGAATTAAGGTAAAATTCAACACAAAAGTTTCTTTATGAAAAATTAAAATTTTTAAAATATACTCATGGTGTAGGGTATTATATGGTCGGCCATACACTATACGACTATATACGACTATACTTTCCTACTTGTTTTAGTTTGAAATTGTCACATTCGGAACTGATTCTATGGCAGTGTTATGGAGTCGCCACTGGTGTTTGGGAACGTATCTGTAACCAATTCCCAATGAATTTTGTTAGAATTTTTCATCCTCTCCTCACCTTCTTTAGAATACTTCTAGAACTAGTTCTATTTTTTTTAGCGATTTTGTTTGATATTGTTAAGATGGCGATGAATTATCAGTGACCCAATTACATATAATTAGACAACTAACTTTGAAAGGTATTCACCCGTATTCAGCATTTCAATTCGAATCATTCATTCAATTTTCTCCGTTTGGCAACTTTGATATTCTGCATTTCGTCCGTCACTAAAATAACAACTTCCATTACGCTTGCAATGCAAAATGCGCACAATCATAAAGCATTGAAACGAAATGGAACTGCTTCTTCTTCTTCTTTGTTGGAATACTATTTTTCGATCGTTGCATAACTGAAAGCGGAAACGTAATCGAAATTCAGAATAAACATTAAAAATATTCACGATATCTTGAAAACATTCAGTCGTTAGTACAAGAATCTAGCAGCAGAACTCAATATTTTATAATAGTCGCGATACATTAGTTGTTCAATTCCCCTATATTAATATGAATGTTTAAATGCATTTCCTATTTCTAAGAAAATATATTCTTAGAAGTGGTTTAGGAAATAGAACGTTCTTCATTAAAATTGAGCAGTACTAATCGAAAAGAAGTTTTCCATTTCGGTTCAAGGTTTTCGACTGTATGTATTCTGCATTATGATCATAGCTACGGTTTTGTAAGTTGTTTTATTAGTAGCGGATCATTAAAACGAAATTCTCCGTTCGGCAAAAATTTCGAAACGATTTGGAATGCAGAATGGGAATGAATATATAACTAGTGCCAATGTTCTACTTAGAAGTATGTAAGTTGAAATCACAACAATGTTCCAGGGAACAGAAAGGGCGACATCTCTTATTTTGCTCTTCTAAGTGGTTTCCGTTTTAGATTAATTTAAACCAATTCTGAAAATTTTAAAGATTTAAAATTCTACTAAATGATTGCCAGAAGTAATGGATGCTTTATACATCCATTCAAAGGATGCTGTACTAGTTAATTTAGAACAAATTCTCACATTTTTATCAGAGTTTTCTGGTTTTCAAAATAAGTTTAAAGTATTTTCTGAAAAACTGTTTAAAAGCTACTATTGTTTTGTCCATTACTGTATATTATGTATAAATAATGTAATTGTGTAAAAACCAATAAAATAATTTTTAATAAATACTATTTTCATTTTGTTTTTTCAACATATGACTTGATTTCATGGTAAATACCAAACAAATATCAACAATTTAATATTATTATTATTTTTATAGATTTAAACAGAAAATAAAACAGCATTTTACAGACATTTTGTTATTTACATAGAAGAAAAATATGTATAGTTCTAGCTACTTTTATTTTAAACTAATAATAATAATAATAATTGTATAGTATAATTTAGTTATTTTATTTTTTATAATTTACTTAATTTAATATGTATATTAAATTGTTTATAAATGTAGTTTAAAGAAAACAAAAAAGAATAAAAATAAAATTTAATAAAAAATAAACACTTTTAAGTGCATTGTTTAATACATATTTGTTGTTGTTGTTTTTTTTTTTAATTTTGTTTGCGTTAAATATTATGAATTATATAAATTCAAAAGCATTTTTTATTTATATTGTTTTTTTAATATATTAACTTTAATTTTACTGTTTTTTTTTAATGGTAAATAATGCTTAAGTTAAAACAGAAAAATAAAACAATTTAATTAAATTACATTTAATGTTTACTATGTAATAAAAAATAAAACATTTTTAATAATTAAAATTTATGTGTTTTTGTTCTTTTTTTGTAATGTATTGTAGATTTAAGTCAAAAGCAATAAAACATTTTGTTTATTTATTTGTGTAAAGCTATCGATTTAAATAATTCAACAATTATTTAAAACGAATCACTGTAAATATCACATTTTTTTTTGTTTTAGTTAACATTATACGTGCACTTATTATGATAAATTATTTATTTATTTAATTAATTACTTGTTTAATTTATTTATTAATAGAAAACAGTTAATAAAACAATATTACATATTTGCTTAAGGTTTTTTTTAATAACTAACAGACTAACTAAATAACTGTATGATAACTAACTAATTTATATTAATAATAATAATATACAGACTGATAGATTTATTAGCAGAAATATAAATTGTATATAGTTTTTTTTTTTAAAGTTCATTAAAGTTATATGTTTACAATAAATCATTAAATATTATAATATTAGAAGATTTAAACGCACACAATGTATGTACATATAGTAAATTTCTAATTAATTTGTTCAGTTGTTTTAGTTATTCTTTTTTTTTTTACATAAAATTCAATATTATTGTTCTTATTTTATAAGTTACATATTTTATCTAAATATATATTTACATACAATATTTATTTGCAAATTTAATGTAACGAAAATACGTGTTTTTTCTTTAGTTACGTACACAAATATTTAAATACTTATAATGTATTAGAAAAAATTTTATATTTTAACTGCAGTCGTAATTAGTTGAGGCTGTAAATGAAAACAAAAATATACATTATTACACAAATAATAATAAAAATTAAGATAAATCTGAATATAATACAAGTAACAGTAATGAATTTGGATATAATGAATCTTATATGTATTTCCTTCTCTGTATTCACCCTTATTACCACTGTTGCCAACTTTTTTCCCAAAAATATCGCTAAAGTCGACTGAAAAATAGCTAGAAAATAGCTAAATTCAAGACATTTTGAAAAATTTAGCTATAAATCGTCAAAATAATATTTATTATATGATTCTGATAAGAAATAGCTAAAAAAACTAGCTAAATTTTTCAGATTTTTTATATTATTCTAAAAAGTCAGCGATTTATCGCTAAAATCTATATACGTACGTAGGAATGGGATAGTGATACAAACACATCTTATAACAAACACATAAGAGAATCTTTTTTTATGTTAAATATTTTCACTTTGGGTTAGGAAAAATGTCAAGTTGAGGTTAATTTCGATATGCGATTGCTTTAGAAATGTTGTAAAGATAAATTGTATTTCGAAATGCTGGCCTTTATGGATCGATCCTTTATTTTCGGTATAAGAGTATTATATATTTTTCCATTACAATACAATTACAAATTATATTCTAACCTAATTTACCGAGCAGGGTGACGATAACCATACGACCGTTGTAGTGTAGCAGACCAGGATCTCTGCTGGGAATCGAACCCACAACCCCCAGACTGACAGGCTAGCACACTACCAACTAGCCTACCGGGGCACCCAAGATTATTATTATACACTCCTTTTGTGGGAAGTTTATCTGCAATATCGATATGCGGCCCTATACGCCTTAGAAATGATGTAAATTTTTAGGACTTCATGGATCGATCCTTTCGTCACTTATTTCCAATGTTCACTATTTTTTAGAGTTATGGTAAATTTTATTATCACTCACTCACTTACTAAAAGACTAGAATAATTAAATATTCGTTTTTTAATTGAGTACAACAAAATATACCCCTTTTAAAGTTTTTCGTATAACTTTACCTGTACGCACAAATATTTGCACCTAATTATGTTCTTCAGAACATTCAAAATAAGTATAATACACACAGCTAAAACTCAAATAATTTACATTGAATGAATATTTTTATATACATACATATATGTAAATATCGTCATTCGTAGCAACTTTTAAGCGATATTATCAAAATAAAAAATGCCTTGAAATCTAAAGAAAAATCGCTAGATTTCCCGCTAATAGCTAAATCATATTTTCCCCGCAAAATGGGATTAAAAATCGCTAGATTTGACGAGAAAATAGCTAAATTGGCAACAGTGCTTATTACCCATTTCGATTCGAATCGATATTTTCTATGTTGAAATCTTTAATTTGTTTAATTCAAAATCAGATGCGCTTGGCGACCATACTCAATAGTTTGGGAGATTTACCGACCAACATTAATTATTCCAGCTCCAAGCCAAAGCAAGGAAACCCAAAGCCCAAAAATCGGAAGATTACCGCTATCCACAAATGGATTCAAAACTTTTTCATAAATTATGAATTAGACTAAATGAAACTACATAATAATTTCCACTTTTTTCGAAATTAACACTATGTTTAGGAAGATAAGTTATGATTATATTCTCCCCCGATTTGTTGCATTCAATAGCACGTAAAAATGTCATTCCGTTTGAGTACTATTCCCACAACATGTTCTATTCTATTGTAAAGAACATGCTTAATAATTCTATACTTATCAATTGTTTAATCTAATTTGTGGTCAATAATCTAATATTAATTTAAATTAATTTAAAAACCACAAGAAATTACCTTTGCAATGCAGTGGCTTCATCCAGTTCACCATCGACTTCATCAATTTTTGAACCACTGCAACTGCGGCATTTACAGCATATAATACAGGGAGCTGCTAGCAGAAGTAAAGGCGAAGCCACCAATAATAAAATACCAAAACCAGCAAAAATGCCTATCACTTGAGCTCGATGCCATACCACCGAAGCACGGGAATGTCCAAGTTTATTTTTACATGGTCCCTTATCATAATGACGCAGCAAAAAGTCATCCTGTGAGATAAAAAAAAAGAAGAAAACAATTTATTACAAACAATAGTGTTATTTATTTGGGAGGTGGACAGGAGCATGTGAACTTATTTTTATACTATACAAATAGTAATACTCACATCCAAACTGGCCAGACAATACCAGCAAAAAACGTGCTTGCAACGTTTACACATCATTTGTGCACAGCCCTCATCCTTTTCAATGGGTACCGCACACATGGGGCAACATTTGATGAGGTCGTTATCGAAGGGTATACCAATATCATCTTGACCATCTGCTGCCAAACGACGGCTATGCTCTTCGCAAGTAATATTTGGATGCCACTAAAGAAAGATACACATTATATTTATTTAAGTTCTTTTTTTTTTGTCTTATTTTCTTCTTCCATACAACAGCACAACAAACAGTACAATGGAAATTGGTATCCACCATAATGTTTATTTAAAAGTTTAATGTAATCTCTACTTAATTTTATTTTCTTTTCCCTAACATCCTTTTTATTTTTTCTGTCTTAACAACTACAACTGCTACTCACCGTCTTTTTACATGCCGAACAAAATTCATCCTTACAGGATGGACATTGTACGGCACACAGTGTTGTCACGGCATTTGTACCGTTGGGAGTTGTTGTTATTGTTGTTGTTGGATTTATGGCTGATGTCGCAGTCGCCGACGTGGTCGAGGATGCCGATGTTGAGGGAGCAGCATCAGATTGAGAAGTTGATGAACCAATAAGACAAACAGTTTCGCAACCAGCACGAGGACACCAGGTACGTGTTTTATCCAACTCGATTTCTATTAGAGAGTATAAAAAAAAAGAAAAACAAATCAAATGTTATTTTACAATGAATGGCCATTTTTACTGTTGAAGCTGTGGGAGGGAATTCTACCGATAAAAGTTTTAAGATTGCGAAATTTATAAAGAAAGTTTAATTATTATTTAACATACAGTCTTAACATACAATTTCTGTAAAATTTCAGATGCATGGATATCTTTGTTTAGGCGTTATTTTTTACTTTTTAAAAAAATCTCTCTTACCTCTATTTAATCGATATCTGTGATGTTTTTTCATTAAATTGTTTGTTGTTAGACTTGCTATTTCGGGCAATGTCATAGCGCCTTGTTCCGGGCATTGGGCATCAGGACATGAAATCTCATAGGCACCTTCCGAGATCTCAAATTCTACATAGGCTTTCATGCACTGCAATTAAAAAAAAATAATAATAAAATATTAGTATTCGGTTAAGAATATTAAAGCGGATAGAAATTATGAATATAAAATCAGACGAAAATAGCAAACTTAAACCAATTAGAACTGGATCTAATAATTATAAATTCTATTCAAAATTTTGTAATTGTTATATGTTCTTTAAACTAATTTTGGTTTAATATTCGTATGTACGTACATATGTATGTATGTTAGTCCCCAAATATAAAACGTTTTTTCATCTTTTCTGTGTTTGTCCATATTTGTGACCATGTAAGTATATAAACCCGGAAACATATCAACAGATTGTACAAAATCATAAAAAGGATGGAAAAAGCAATTGAAGTTTTTTTTTACATTAAACTCAACTTCCGGATAAAAATGTTGCTCTACTTGCAGCATTTGTTTCCTGTTAATACAAAGTTTTTCAACATTCTCATATAAAACATACTACATTTTTATTTTTCTTGACCTAACCTAAAAAAACATTGAAACTTGAAATTTACAACTGGCTTAAGAAAAACATGAAATAATAAAATTGTTGCAAAAAATTCCATCAGATGTACAAAGGTATACAATGAGGTTGGTATATAATATGAAAACTTAGTATTTTCCAACATAAATTAAAAAAAATTGATTACACTGCAAAAATTATTGGAGTAAATGATCCATTTAAGTAATCCAAAAACTAGTCCTCTGTATATATTATGGGAGTAAATGATCCGTTTGAAGTCCTATGTAATGCAGGCTTGGATCATGTTTCCTTTTTTGAAAACAACATGGTCCATAGCCTGCATTACATGGGACCATGTTGCGGATCATGTAATCCCAAGAGAGTAGTTTTGGGATTACTCCAATGTAATGCATGGTTGGTTTACGTAGTCCTCACCTAGGACGTCATAACGTTAAATGGAGTATGTTTTACCCATATACATATTTGGATTAGTTTTTGACCAGTCCTAGTCCTTTGAGGAGTACTCATTACAAGGGTGTACGGAGTAGTCTAAATTTTTGACGGGTAGTAGTAATAACTAAATAATTCAAAATTTCAATTTCATAACTAAATAATTCAAATAATAATCATAAAATAATCCTGAAATGGTGGCAAATTAAATTTTTCTTGAATACGAAAATATTCTAATGTATTGGTATGTACATATGTATGTATGTTTATTTGTTTTATTATTGTTGCAAATGAAAACTTTGATCGCACAAACAACAAATTTAGAAAAAGTTATTATTTTCTAACTATAAATAAAAATCAAGTATTAATATTTTCATTAATATACCAAGTTTTTTTGCAACTGACATTTGGGAGAACATCAACAAGAAAACAAAACTTCTACATACTAACTAATTTTTCCCAATTAAATATGTGGGAAACTTTAACAAATGTTTTAAAATTTTGATAAAAATATATGTATGTATGTATATACGTATGAACATTAGGGTGGCCCCAAAATAGAAGTTGCTGATATTTCCACTGAAAATAAAATGCAGTTTATTCTAAATTATAATTTCTCAATTTTTTTGTTCTGAGGTCAATATTTGGAGTGCTGGGTCAAAGGTTAAAAAGGTAACAAAATGATCGTAGACGGTATTGTCGTTGACGATTCGTGAGACATTTTTGAATTTTTCCCCAATCGCTGAAGTTGGCTAAACGACAATGTGTACGAATTTTTCGTTAACGACAAGATTAGCGACAACATCTTAAATATTGTCCTCTATTGATAAGTTTAAAGACAAAATGTAAGATATTGTCTTCAAAAATGTCTTCTAGCAAACACATATGATGACAAGATGAGCGACTATGTCTTGAATGTTGTCATATATCTAAATAGGTTGTTGAATATATGAACGACAGATTCTTAAACGTTAATTTTAATTTTACATGCAGGCAAGGCAAACGACAATGTCTTCAATGTCGTTATATAATTCAGGACTTTACATTGTCGTGTATCTATCGTTGAGGATGTCTTAAAGACATGCCCAAAAGGGTTTTGAAAAATTAATTTATTTTTATTACATTAAGAATTTCTTCGTTTTGTTTTTGTGTGCAGTTTTAAATAAGGATCTTTTCTATTCACGCCTATTTCGTATTTAATACAATCACGATCATGAGTGATTCACACGTGACAGTAGAAAATTATGACACGCACACAACTCTAGTTGAAAGCTTTCTATGATTTCATATTAAATTGTTTGTTTGTTTTATTTTATTTGTTTGTTATGGAAGCTCATGGAAGCTTTAATTAAAAGATTGAAATGTTGCCATATTTGTTAAGGTTTAGGTAAGACAAATTTGCTACCCTTCTCATTCTTTATTAGTTTTTTAACTATAGCAGCTATTTCAAAAAAATTATTCACACAAGTCTTTTCTTCAATGGATTAATACAGATGAAAATGATTAGAATCGTTTAAAAATTTCATATAACTCCCATACAAATTTACATACATCAAGAAAATGTATATATTAACAATTAACTCCCTCTAAAATATCGGTATTACATCAAAACTTTGCACATATATGTAAATATAATATCAATAGAAATTGTGTTACCACTAAAACCTCGATCGGTCCATAATTGACTAAATTTCCAATATAAAACCCATTTCTGAAAATTACTTAATAGTAAATAACTAATGAATTAATATTGAATTCTACAAGAAAATGTTCTGCGACTCTTTTTATGGATCGGTTCATTATTTGTTTACTATTTAAATTTTCAAAATTTATAAAATGGAAATTTCTATAAATATTTGATGTGTAAATAAAGAAACTAGTTCGGCTAAGCCGAACTTATTTATTATTAAAAATTATAAAACTTTTTATTATTAAAATTTATAGTGATTAAAAAAAAGTTAAAAATGAAAAAAAAAAATCAAGTACAGCAACAATTATTTTTAAATAAAATTAGCTTTTTGACCCATAAATATTATTTTCGAAAATTTATTACGGCCTTGTGTATAATATTTTTTCGTTCTGTTTCCAAAATACAAAAAATATTCACGGACTTTCTATTTTATTCAATTAACACTTGAACAAATATAAAAAAAAAATATACCAGATCATTAATTCGTATATAGCAAGATCTGGCAACATATTAAATGGCAGCGCTATTGTAAAAACAAAAGTAACCACAACACACTTCCAGCGAATATTGGAAGTTCGGGAGAATTTCCAAATGTCACGTGAAGTAAAAGCTTTTTTCAAGTTATTGCAGTCAAGTAAGTACGTAGTAATGTCATTATTTCGTTGATCGTCGTAGTTCGGTGTGGCAGAGAAGAAACCTGTTGGTAATAATTTACAAATTTCAAAATTTTTTCCCATTTGGAAGGAAAAAAATAATTAAAACAATTACACTAGATAAACGGATTGTTACAAATTAATTAATTTTTAAGTAAATACTGCAGTGGGGGGAAATTAAAACCGAAAAAACAAACGTAAAAAGATATGGAAAATTCAAAAATTAAAATGGAAATGTGCAAAATGATTTGTAAAAAAAATAATTAAGTAAACTGGAAAGTTGGAATTAAAAAAAAAAAGAAACGAAAAGTATGTGTGTGTGTGATATATCAAGTGACCCAACTAAAACGAAGTCAGCTGACACAACACAAGTCGGTGAAAAAATTGGAAACGAAATTAAAGATAATTTTGTATTTTTCCATATCTTTTGGCGTTTTTGTTGCTTTTATTAAGCAAATAATAGAAATTAAATTAATAAATTTTCGAAATTTTCAGTTTAAGCATTCCATTAATAACTAAAGAGTTAGAAGTAAAAGAAACAAAATGTCCAACTTGAAGAGATTCGACGACGTTGAGGAAGAATCCAAATATGGTCGCGTATTTGCTGTATCAGGTCCTGGTGAGTATGATTTAAGACTGTTCATGTTGAATCCCATATTTATGGCGCAATTCCTTGCATTTTCCATTGTTCCTCCCTACACTTTTACATTTATGACAATGACATTGTTTCGATGAAAAAAATTAGTCGTCACTGCCGAGTGCATGGCTGGCTCGGCTATGTACGAGTTGGTACGTGTAGGCTACTATGAATTGGTGGGTGAAATTATCCGTTTGGAAGGTGATATGGCCACCATTCAAGTATACGAAGAAACCTCTGGCGTAACCGTTGGCGATCCCGTCTTGCGTACTGGCAAGCCCTTATCCGTCGAATTGGGTCCCGGTATTATGGGCAGCATCTTTGACGGTATCCAACGTCCCTTGAAAGACATCAACGAATTAACCAACTCCATTTACATTCCTAAGGGTGTCAATGTACCCTGTCTGTCTCGCACCACCTCTTGGGAATTCAACCCCTTGAACGTTAAAGTCGGCTCCCACATCACCGGAGGTGACTTGTACGGTTTGGTCCATGAAAACACCTTGGTTAAGCACAAAATGATTGTTGGTCCCCGTGCCAAGGGTACCGTCCGTTACATTGCCCCCGCTGGCAACTACAATGTCGAAGACGTTGTCTTGGAAACTGAATTCGATGGTGAAATCACCAAACACACTATGTTGCAAGTGTGGCCCGTACGTCAACCCCGTCCTGTAACTGAAAAATTACCCGCCAATCACCCCTTGTTGACTGGTCAACGTGTATTGGATTCTTTATTCCCCTGTGTACAAGGTGGTACCACTGCTGTGCCTGGTGCTTTCGGTTGTGGCAAAACTGTCATCTCACAAGTGAGTTTCTAAACACTTTCACCAACTCGTTTTTGTATCTACAATGTGTTTCTATTTTATGTGTTTTTAGGCCTTGTCCAAATACTCCAACTCTGATGTCATTATCTACGTCGGTTGCGGTGAACGTGGTAACGAAATGTCTGAAGTATTGAGAGATTTCCCCGAATTGTCTGTTGAAATCGATGGTGTCACTGAATCCATCATGAAACGTACCGCCTTGGTTGCCAATACCTCTAACATGCCTGTCGCTGCTCGTGAAGCTTCCATTTATACCGGTATTACCTTGTCTGAATACTTCCGTGAT